CGAAAAGCAATAAATACATTTTTAAATAGTAATGTTGTGTCACTTCCTTGATTCCCGAAATTTTCTGTGCCGCCCTCGTATATGCCGTCTTCAAAGAACTAAAAAGATAAAACAACTTTGCATTCTGAATTGGGTGCTAAGACATAGTGTACAAAAGTATTAAAACCCGACATCAGAATGTGAAACTACTTTATTCTATTCATTCCCTATTTTGTCACCCTTAGAGGTGGAATTTTGTCTCCAAATTTATATGGGACTATCCCTGAAGTATAAGTTTTTTTTTTTAATAAAATAAAAAACCATCAAAATCGGTTCACAAATTGATGAAGATATTTCGTAACATACATTAAAAAGAACATAGGTACTGGAATTGTAAACCTTCTCCTTTTTTTGAAGTCGGCTAAAGGCTAAAGATGAATCTGTTCAAATAAATGCAGGATTTATCTAATCGCTGTTCACTCCAAAACTCCCCAAATTATCTCCTACATAGGAGTTTCCGTTCCCACATTAGATGTCGTCGTGTTATGATAATTAGATTTTCGAACATACAAGTGAACTCATAGATGTAAGCTAGTTGAGATTAAGTGATTAACTTGATTTAGAGGTGGTCCTTTCGACAACTATTTCAAAAAACAAAACACATAAATTTATTTTAAAACACATTCTCTATCTGATACGAGTAAATTACATTATACACAAAATATACGAGTACATAGGTAAGGTCAATGTATAGTGGCGGTGTGGCGTAAGGGGACAAACTACTCTATATCATCCCGTGAGTATAGAATAAAATATTTTTTTATTCAATATAGATCAAATGTGTAATTCTTATTGAAAGTAATTTTTTACTTTACCACTGGTTCGAAGAAAAAACCCTCTGTCCTGAGAAGAACCTGCAAGAAACTCAGCGGGACTTTTATTTAAAAATAAATTTTACTTTAAATTTATTACAAAATTTATTTTAGAAACAGCTTGGAAGCGACAACCACATACCCAGGGGTTATTATCAACTGTGTATTAATTTATATTATAACAACGCTTTTTATACAGTTTTTGTTTAATAACATATTTAAACTTGGTACTAGAGATACGTTGTATATTTTCTGGAACTTTGTTGTAAAAGCGTATAAATTGCCCCAAGAATGAATTACTGACTGTGGAGTCGAGAAGGTGTTGTAAGAGACGATACAAGGAAATGATACATGTGTTAGGAGATGACAGAAGCAGCGAACTGCGATTGCCAACCCGTTTCCCAAGCGTGGCAACTAGGTACGAATATGACCTTTTTATGACCTGTCGAGTGGAACCCTTAGGTTCAAAATAAGTAATTATTTTATTCCTTTTAGTTCCTTGAAATTGGTTTATTACATCTATTAAAGGCCTTTTATTTGACTCTTTTGAGTGAGATAATAGTTACATTAAAATGTCGCCCAAATAGTTACGTCAAAAACTTTATCCCCTACTTTTTGAAGTCGTCTTATAATGTATGTCAAACAACATGCAAGTGCAACGTGCACATCGATAGATGCAGGTAGATCAGAAATGTACGTTGTGACATTTCTTGGGAGAGACCTATGATAGATATATATATACCATACATAATATGGCACTCATTTTTTGTACATGTTTGAGCTGTGTGATATCGTAAAAATAGACTATTGAAAATTCCAGAAAGATCTCATAGCTTCCCTTAGATCGTGGTATAACCGTTTCGTTTTTGTTCGATGATGATGATGACTAACGTGTCACCACGCCGCACGCCGAGTTTAAGACTCTTCATTCTGACTTTAACGAGTAAGTAGTCCACAGTACCTACTTACCTAAGGCCCGAGGGTTTAACTTGTATGACATACACATGCTGTTGTATTACAGTAAGGTAACACGGTAAACGCACAGCCATGGCAGGTGAATTTTTATCACTGTTGTTAGTCGATAGTAGCAATATTGCCGTACATACGAATGGGGTGCTATAAGCATCTGACAGTAAGAATTTTTTAAAAGACTATTTTTCGATTTGTGCCATGCATTTCTGATCTATGCCAAATAGATCAGTTCGAATGGCTAAACTTGTTCTTGCAAATTGATCAAAATATATAACTCAACTGTTTAAAGAAAAAGCTAACATTCAGGTAGACGTATCATGATAACAGTAAAGCAATAGTTACTGACAATATATACAGGTAAAAGGCAACAGAGCATATGTTATTAGTCATAAAACTCTGAACGAATTAAGCGATTGAGGTAAGGGGAAGATCAAAGAACCCTATCATAACAAGTGAATATGTGGCGCGACGACACTATTGTCTTTGTCTATGTGCTTTTTATGTATGTATACTTTGTTACGTGGTAGAGCCATGCATGGGTCGGCTCGACCGGGGTAGGACCACACCCTCACAGAATACCAGCGTAAAATAGCAGCTTAACGCTACTGTTTCGTCTGGTGAGTGTAGATAACCGGAGACCCTTCTTACTGGAAACAAGGCATTCCATCTTAGTCCTCACGGATGACAACGTGTATGCATTTTGATAAGCGTCATTTAAAGTAATATTTCTTTCATGGAAAGATAAGAAAAAGTGCGAGGGAGATGGGTATTATTCCATCTCGCTCGCACTATAAAAAGGGGGTAGTGACGAAAAAATCTTAAACCTTTTCTCGCCTAGCCCTCATCCGTCAAATTCGTACCGTGCGATAAGGAACTTCGTTGCAAGAACGTAGTCACCTGGGTGGACTAAGGTAAATGCCTCGTTACCATTAAAAATGGTCTCCGGTTATCTACACTCACCATACGACCACCGCATTATTTAGGTGTTTCACGCTGGTATACTGTACGAACGTTGTCCTATCTCAATCCATCGTTGCATCCATTTCTGCTGCAGCCATAATATAACTGCAGCGTGAAAACCACGTACCACGTAAGAAATTGATTGATCGATTGATTGGCAGTAGAAATAGTTAGTGCTGATTAAAATATATGATTACATCTAGACAAATATTCAAGGAAAAATTTAAGTTATTTTGTTCTTTTTTTTGGAAACAAATTTTCTCAAAGCCAGACGAAGCACATAATTACGTTCTTTAATTGCTGATTAATTACATTCTTTTGTTTCATTGCGCAAATAAAATTAACGATCACTTTTACAAGAAAACGATGGTCAATTATGAAAACAGCACTTCAATTAATCTCTGTAACGGTAAATAAAACGCATATTCAATATCATTTAAAGTAATAACTATCAAATGTCAGTAACAGCGCTTTGTACAGTTATTGACATTAAATATTAAAACTTTAATGTCTCCGGATCTCTACACTCATCATACGAATGTTTTGCATACATATAAATAAAAAAATTGTCTGTCTGTCTCTCTGTCCGTTCGGGACACTTTAAGAACATAGTGAACAATGCCAGGAGTAATGAAGGCTGTATTTTATCCGAAAAATATAGATTTTTTTTTGAGAAAATGAAAAAGTAATGAAATAAAAGGTCATTGATGATTATCTTATATCTGAATGACGTCATCTTATAGATTTCATCACATATCGCATCGCTAATCTGTAATAAAATAACATATCTACCTACCCTTATCTCAGTGTTTTTGGTACGCGTACTCTTAGGGTACGTGAGGTTGCCTAAAGGGGTCACCATTAACTATGGTAAAGGTTAGGGCAACTCTTGACGGTGCGAAATCTACGCAAAAATTACAATCGCTCAATTGAAAATACTCGTAACTGGAGTGATTTTCATTGTTATAAAATTCTTGAAAGAAAATATGATTTTATATTTTATTTATTATTTCAGCAAAAAGGGGTACACGATCTTGAGCTCTTTCTAGAAGTCGTAAGCAGGAAAAATTAAGTTGGACGCCACTGCTTTATCGTATATATATACGATAAAGAAGTGGCGTATAGTTACATTTATATCTTACATAGCTAAAGTATTTTTAGTTATGGTTGGAAACAGGAACCTAAACTTGTTTACCCTACGCTATGGATCTCCTGGCTCGCCCTCTTGGCTTTATTACAATTCGAAGATAATTTATATATGAAGAGCAAATATCTCTTCATAGTATAAAACAGTCGCTTCTCACCGTCTGTACGCTTAGATCTTTTAGAAGACGCAACAGATTTTAATGCGGTTTTTATTAGTAGATAGAATAATTTAAAATAAAGGTTTATATGTATATAAAATGTATATGTATTATATAATTCTTCTGTCCGTGTGTATGTGATTGAACTCTCCTAAACGGCTCGACCGATTTTGATGAAATTTTGTATGTGTGATTAAAGAATGGTTTAGATTTACAATTGGACCCGGTAGGTGGCGTTGTTGTTGAGATCCAGATATCCAGCGCACGAAGCGGGGGCGGATCGCTAGTAAGATTTAAGTAAATCCCAACCTATTTGTAAATAACAACAAAAGGAACTATATAATGTAACTTATACTAATACATACTATAAATGTAAATTATGCTAATATTTAACTAATATGATCTAATGTAACTTAATATTCTGTATTATGGTTAAAGCATGAATGGATTAGCATGAAATATCAGCAGTCAACTCATTTGTTTGCATTTTGATTATTATTAGGTCGTAGAGCCATGCTGCAGCCATATTAATTGTATAGTTGTAGCACGAATGGGTCAGCTCGACCGGGGTAGGACCACGCTCTAACAGAATACCCGCGTAAAATAGCAACTTAATGATGTTGTGTTTCGTATAGTGAGTGTGGAGAAACGGAGACCCTTTTTTCTGGAAACGAGGCATTCCATCGTAGTCCTCAGGGGTGACAACGCAATTGTGTTTTGTTTCTTAATCGAGGATAAATGTAGATGTCTATGAGCCACAGCATCCTCTTACCATCAGGTGGACTTTGTGCTCGTTTGTATGGGTGTTATTAAATCACTGTTTCGGTTAAAGTTAAAAAGTTAAGAAATTGACAGCTATAAAATTGGAGGGTAAATTTTACGCACATTACCAATAAAAATTATTTTAACTGACCTCAGAAAAATCGCGCTGCGACATTTCTTTACTGCTACGTTCTTCTTAACCGTTCCTGAAAGAGGATATTATAATTAGTGTTTATTAAATACAGGTTTAAATTTAAAACTTTGAATTATCTTACGTATTAAGGATTGAAACAATAAAAATAGAAAAGTTACTACATAAGAAGAAATGAATAAAAAAAAAATCGAAATTTTCGCTTCTACTAATACAGAAGCGAAAATTTCGATTTTTTTTTATTCATTTCTTCTTATGTAGTAACTTTTCTATTTTTTATTATATTTATATTCATGATCATTGCAGTCCATCACTAGCCAGCTACTATAGGCTAGGCTAAGATAGGCCTACTCCAAAGCCTATCGAACATCGTATTGTGTACCTGCATTTATTCGTTCCCATTCCACACTGATTTATCACATGCGCATCAAAGGAAATGCCTTATATTCCGCACTTTTTTATTTGTATGTTTTTTTTTTTGTAAAAAAAAATTCTATTTCTAAAATTATCTTGTCCACTATAGAAATCCATGATGATTGTTGTAGATCGCCGAAAAGTGTCTCCAAACGCATAGAGATCAAGATTGCGGTTTGTGTAGATAAAAAAATACAAAATTACGGTAGTAAAAAGCAGCGTGGTATAAACGGCAATATTCAACGCTGTACTAATTGCTGGTTTTATTTATTTAATTAAATTATATATAAAATATTATTCACAATATGGCAGGCTTTTTAATTTTTTTTTTAAACGTTACCCCCACACTAGGATTTTCTCCTGTATCGTGGAGGCAGTTTACAAACACAAATTTCACAAGGACAAACATCCAGACCTGGAACAATCATTTGTAGGCCATACAAATACTTGTTCCGTGCGGGATTCGAACCCGCGCCCCCCAGCGCAGCAACTCATTGCTAAGCCACTGCGCCATGGAGCCGTCGAAGCCCCGTGGCGCAGTGGCTTAGCTTCATTGTATTTTATTTTTTCCCAGTAAACAATTCGACTACGTAAAGAATAGATAATAATAATAATAGGTTAGAAGCAATATATGTATGTATACATAAATAACTTATTATTTTTATATATCGTGGTAAGATCTGATGATTATCGCAGAAGAGGATCTTGAAATGGAACAAAATGGTTGCGATTATAAAGCATAGACATGAAACTAGAAAATGTTATAGATTAAAACATGTAACAGTTAAACAGTTATTTAGTCTGTCTCGTGGATGATCGCTAGATAAAAAGAGCCGCTACCGCATAGAGAACACAGGAAATTCTTAAGTTTATAACGACCGCTGCTGCCACAGATAAGATTAAAATGTTGAGGATGGATGTGAGTAATTGTGTATGTGTGCGAATGTGTACGTATCGTTTGTATTACTAACATTTATTTTCCAGTTACACGGCCTGCAGTACTCAAAGCACATACCTACGAAGCATATCAAACATTCTCCTGTATATATATCATAATCATACACATTTACTCAAATAAATGTTTTAATAATGCCTTCATTCGTGCACATTTTCGTTCGTTTATATTTTGTTGTTGTGGTTAAAGTTTCTTAAAAAATATGTGTGCATTTCAGTAAAATTATGGCGACTGTATGTTCGCTGTCTCGTGCACTACATATAGGTCATTGCTAGTCTTACTATTGTGGCTGCAAAGCGGACAGTGAAAGTGTTAAGGATGTGAACTGCAAATTCGGAAAGTCGTGGGTTCGAACCCGCCATTCGACTACAGTCGTGAACAAATTTTAGCACAAGCATTCTAAGTTTGATTAAGTGGTGAATGAGAATATTGTTAATGTTAATAGTTTAAATTTTCGGCTTCCTGTTTGTATAAATAATTTTGAAATAAATCAAAAATAGAAATTGTCTTTCTATCCGTCTCTACATATACGAACGGGTTTAACCCGAAACAATATGATATCTCGTTTTTATAGAAACAATATGATATCTCGTTTTAATAGATATAATGATGCAAAATCGATTATAAATAAAAATGCAATAACTTCCTACCAGTAAGTAAAAAGGGTCACCGGATCTTGTCCTTCTCCAGTCGATCTAACTAATGAGATAGATTCACTATTGCTACAATATGACCCTACTATTTCAAATTATATATACCTAATAACACTCTTCTGCCTTTCATTCACGAGATTGAAGTCGTTGGCATTGTTTTTATATTATTAACTAGCTGGTACCAGGCACATTGCTGCCGCTGAAAAAAATATTGAGGAAAAATTATTTATATTCGGAAGAGGTATTTTCTTTCAGTTTCACTTTCACTACATTGAAATTGAATGATCTATAACTTTCAAATAAACCCTACAATCGTACGTTATTTGTACTATGCCTATAACTTTTGCGCAAGTGCCAGCAATAACTTGACAGAATTTTAGCGTAATCTGATAAACGGTATAGCAGCGATTAAAATACGAACAAACAAAAAATATTTTATATATATATGAGGAAAATTTTAATATATGATGATCTCGAGCTATACAGATTTAAGGAAACCCACTGTAAGAGACACAAAAGTGTTATTAGGGTGTGCATAAATTTTAAATGCATTCATTAACATGGCGTGTATATTTAAATAGCATAATTATGTAATATGAAACCATTTGGCGGGAAAAAAAAAACAAAGTCACAGTAACCTTTTGTAAACCTATGTACAGCATTGACTTCAAATATGGAGGAGGTTTTCAATTCGAGTGTTGTGTGTATGCTCTTTGTGTAACTATATGTTGTTTGTTGTTGTTTGCGTGATTTGACTTAATTTGACTATTTTACCTAGCTTAGTTGGCATAGTTTGCGGTGGACGTACTTGTATGAAAAACTGGCTGCGATGGACGTTCGGCTAAAGAGTTAGCAACCATACCATCAAATTAATGCTTTCTAATCGTAAAAATCGAAACTTATTATTATTGAAATGTGTAGGTTTCTTCATAATGTAAACCAATAATAATTCACTGTCGGGTACGTGGTATATCAGCACTTAAAACTGCTATAAACGATTAAGGGCAGATTCGACCGAACCTCGATTTATACTCGATTAACTATACCAGGAATAAGCTATTCCACGATTTAAATAAAATTGAGTATCGTTTTTCCACGTAATTTAAAAGTATAGCTATGTTTCGAATAACTGTACGCAAGTTGTAGAGTGAATGATGAACAAATATAAAACCCGGCAAATATATATTGCTCTATGAAAGGATGATGTATTAAGGTATATCATGTCCACTAGCCTTTTATTCCGTGTTTTAAAATACAAAATGAGTGAGTACAAACGCAAAATATTTCTTACGAAATGAGCTTGAAATTGACACTGATTGTAATAACAGTGAAGAAACATAAGACGCTATTTAATTATTCTTAGAATCACTCTGTTATCCCGTGCGAAATGGTGGTTTAGTAACTATTCCCGAATAGGCGTGCTATTCTTAGAATTGTAAATAGCAAAACGTAAATTTTATTTATTCTCCAATAAATGGCCATTTAATCTAAGAATAAAATTTACTCTCGTTTGGTTGAATCCATAATATTATGTATATGTATAATTTTTACAAACTAAGTTCGAGCCAATTAAGTTTTCAACGAATGTAAGCAATGTTCTGTGTGGAATCCCTTGGTTAAGGTCTATGTTTAGCAGTGGAAATATAATGGCTGTAATGTTGATGATGAAATTTTATTTAGAAATATTATTAATCTTCGAGTAAAACTGATGCTTATATCATATGACGAAACACCGTGCAATCTCTCTATTTGGCTTTACATTAATTCTTACAAAAAATTATTTTATTTTAGTTTGGATTCAAGAACTAATGTTCTAATTAAATGAATAATACTTCTAAAGTTAACTAGCTACTCGTACATCTGTTTAACGTTCATGGAAAATTAGATTGTAACAGGGTATATTACTTGCTAAGTCTGAGCCCATTACGCATACGTATTTACAACTTATAAATGTACTATATTATTGTTTTATTGTTGTTCGGTGTGTTGCTACATTTTCAATTGACACTGGAGCAGTAAATTATTTCCTTTCTTCATTAATGAAATTATCCTATAGCTTTGATGCTTTATATTTATCAATGGTGTTTTTAAGAAATTTTGAATTAATACTATGTACGCATAATAAAAATAAAGAAATTCAGATTCGAATATTGTTTATTTTTCATCCTATTTATCAAAATCAAGACAAGGAAATTATTGTAAATTAATTTAAGACAACCAAATTAAAACGTGAACGCCCGTCTGTAAGGCCACGTCAAGGCATTGTGCGTATGACGAGGGATGAGGGATCATCATATCAATTTGCGCGCGTGTTATATTATTCTTTTCATTGTTAAATTAATAATCTGTATGGTAATCACCTGCTGATTCAACGATGTATCACTTAAAAATTTCAATACCCTAACGAATTTATTTCCATAAAACTCTCAGCTTGAATTGTTTTAATTGAAAATTTCATTACTACTCGTAATTGAACGATGTCATCCGAAGGGCTTGTCCCTATAAATGTTCCCTCGATTTTAGAGCCTTATGGAATATTTAAAGACGATGGCAGGAGATCCGACGGTATAACATTGGTCCCTTGGGAGAGAGGTAAAGCCCTAGTGTGGGATGCTACTTGCGTAGACACTTTGGCGGCCTCTCATCTCAGGGGTACCTCGTTTAGAGCCGGGGCGGAATCAGAGGCAGCTGAACTGAGTAAGTGGCACAAATATAAGTCTTTGAGAGATGACTACATATTTGTGCCATTTGCTGAAGAAACTATCGGTCCGTGGGGTCCATGTGCGGTGAAGTTCCTAAAGGCACTCCATCCGCGGCTGGTCGTTGCTGCAGGTGATAAGAGGGCTGGTTCTTTCGTCACTCAAATGCTAAGTATAGCCATTCAGCGGGGAAACGCAACCAGCATTCTTGGCACGATACCGCGGGGAGTAGGACTGTATCATAATTAAGTTACTAGTTTTAGTTTTTTTATTATAGTTTTTAATATTGTATATAATAAAATA